GTGTAAATTAATTCAGCCACTGTGCAAAGCAGTTTGGCAATTTCTCAAAGAACTTAAAACAGAACTGCCATTCAACCCAGCCATCTCATTACTGTGTATATACCCAAATGAATGTAAACTGTTCTGCCATAAAGACAAATGTATGTTTACGTTCATCTCAGCACTATTAACAATAGCAAAGAATGGAATCAACCATTTCCTCAACTTACCACTAAAATTATAGACAGTTTGAAATGGGGACTTAGGCTATAGTCAATCCCTTACTTTTTAGGAAGGTCTCCTTGACTTCTTGTATGATCTCAAAAACCTTAATAGGAGTATTATGCCTGGATCAAACCTGGAGACAGAACTAAAGGGCCTAGTAAGTTTTTGTTGTTGTTGTTCTTTCTGCTTTTCTCTACCATAAAAGCTCCACTATACAATACCTCAGTGGAATATTTTTGACCTGACAAATGCCTAACTAAGTCTTTCTACACCTATGGAAAGGTATTCCATGGCTTGAGCTTCATCCACCAACTTTAATACACCATACGGAATTCTCCAGATTCCTTTAGCTCTGAGAGACACTAGCACAATGAGTTCAGTGTTCCCACATACCACATCCACTGTGTTGCCTACACCTCAAAAATGGCCAAAAGATATGTTTTTTAAATGCTTGACATCACTACTCATTAAGGAATTGTAAATCAAAATCACATGATACTATCTCACTCCAACTACAGCGGCTAGTATCAAGAAAACAAGTGTTGGCAAAGATGTGAAGAAAAGGGAACACTGGAACACTGTTGGTGAGATTGTAAATTAGTACAGCCACTGTGGAAAACAGTGTGAAGTTGCCTCAAAAAGTTAAAAAAAGAACTATCATATAATCTAGCAATCTCACTGCCAAATATATAGCCAAAAGAAATGAAGTCACTATGTCAGAGAAATACCTGCACTTCCATATTTATTGTAGCAGTATTCACAATAGCCAAGATAGGGAATCAACTTAAGTGTCCAACAACAGACAAATGGATTTTAAAATTTGTGGTATATATACACAATGGAATACTATTTATCCATGAAAAAGAATGAAATCCTATCATCTGCAACCACATGGATGAACATGGATAGCATTACGTTAAGTGAAATAAGCCAGACAAAAAAAGACAAATATCACACAAGCTCAGTCATCTGTGGAGCCTAATTTTGTTTAAGTTGATATCATAGAAGAAGTTACTAGAACAGTGTTACCAGACACTGAGGAGAGGAGGGAAAAGTTGAGGAGAGGTAAAAGGTTGGTAAATGACGACAAAGTTGCAGTTAGATAAGAACAAGTCTGGTGTTCTATTGCTCAGAAGCGTAACTATGGTTAACAGTTAGGTATTGTATATTGCAAAATAGCAGGAAGAAAGGCTTTTAAATTTTATCACCTGGGAGAAAAAACAAAGGCATGAGGTGATGAATGCACTAATTGCCCTGATTTGATAATTACACAACATGTATGTATTAAAACATCAAATCATGCTCCATAAAGATATATTACAATGCATCAAGAAATAAAACAGCAATTTCTTCAGGTCCAACCTAATATAATCCTTGTGGAGTGTAATTTGACAACACATATGATAGTTTAAAATCTATCTATACTTTACCAATTCTATTCCTAGAAATTTATCCTACATTCCTTTCTATATATATATATATATACACACACACATATATATACCTTTATTTATTTATATACATTAAATATATCCTATATTTGCTCATGTGTAAAATCACTCTTGTAGAGGAATATTCATCACATCATTGTTTATAATGGGAAATATTGGAAACTATTTACATATATACACAGAAAAACTTTAAATTGTAATATATTTCAAGTCTAAAAAAGAAATTATTGATGAATATGTATTACCTAACTTAGCCTAGCTCTTAGGTTGCGAGTTACTTACGTTTTGAAACTCTTTTTAGGCAGACATTCCGTAATGCCAAATAAAACTAGCCATCATTCACAAATTAGTACCTGTTAAATTATTTTTACAACACATACATGTTAGGCACACATTACAAAAGCAAAAACCTAAAAAGCTTAGTACATGGGATTTTTTTCTTACTACTGTGCTTGATATATTAAGTAATAGGTATCAAGTACCGTTGGCCCTGGAACAACACAGGTTTGAACTGTGCAGGTCCACTTACACACAGAATTTTTCAACCAAAGTCAGATGGAAAATACAGTATTCATAGGCAGTGAGTGGATGGGAGGTGTCTTGGAGCCAATCCCTTGCACACACCAAGAGATAATCGTAATTCATTTTTACTGCATCTTTGCTTGTACATTTGTCCTTAGGTTGAATTTGTGTTATAACCTTAGACATCCAGTATATATATTAGTTTGACTAGTAAGCTCAAGAAGAATAGAAATGTGTGCTCATATACTTAATGCTTATCAATCAGAAAATGTAGCTGTTTTTATTTAACCAACAATATTAATCTAATCTTATTTACCAAAATGCACCTAAGTCACATGAACTTGAAAGACATTTGGGTTAGTTCTTATATATCTGAGAGTTTGGGGAACATTTAATATATATAAGCCCTGACTAATCTCTAAGCCAATTTGAATATGAGTTAAGAGCATTTGTAAATTAATTTGCTAATCTAATAATAGAAAAATATCACATATACATAACATACATACATAAATATGTACAAACATGCATGCTCACTGATGCAAACAGATATTTTATAGCTTTCATTTTAAAGATTAGCTGTGAGTGAATAATATAAAACACTGCTTTGTATACAACAGTTGAATCTCATCTTTATACCACTTTACATGTTTATCCTAATTGTGTTTCTAGCAAAAAATGGGACATGGTAAATTATCCCGTTCAATATGAGGGCTAAAGTTCTTACCACTATTTGTTGAAAACACCTTTAAGATCTTCGTTGCGCTGATGGATAACTTAATGGAGGCTGGGACTGCATTCTAGTCCAGCGACTAAGGAGACATCAAGCACCTGTTTGGATAGCTTCAAAACCCATCTAAATGGATAATAAAGTATCCAGTATATTTCCAACTAGTCTTTTATCTATTAAGCCTCAGGTAGTTGCTATTGGGAGAAGGTGAGTCCCTTAAGAGCTTCCAGTGAGAGCAGAAGGCTTAGAGTTCAAGTGATTATGAGGAGCTAAGGAGTTGAAGTGTAAAGGAAAAGTCCAGCAGGGGCAAACAGAGGAGAAATGGTAGAGTTTTTAAGGGAGACATATCAAAGGATTCAAAGGTGCTGAAGGGAAGATTCAAGGTGGTAAGAAGAAGGAAGAGAGGAACTGATGGAAAAGGGGAAGCCTTTGGGGAGATTGTAAGTTTCCTAAAGAGGTCAATGAAGTTCCAAATTATCCTCAGCAAAATCATGCCAACTGAAGGAGGTAGACAGATTTGGGGAAGCATAAAGTCTGCAGGAGTTCCATTAGGGGATTTTAGACAACTAAAAAATTTCCATGAGAAAGACAGAATCAAATAGGGAAAACAAAGAGACCTTACAAAGGACCAGGGGGAAAAAATGTTCAGCCCAGGAGTCATGGAGTACATTCTCACTGAAAACAAATGAGCTAAGAATTTTCCAGCCTATGGCCAGGGCCAGAGCCAGGAGTCAGGAAAAGAATCATCTTTACTCCAAACAAAGAAGCAGTAAGAAAAACCTCCAGCACCACAGGTGTTTGAAACAATGAAACCTGAGCCTCTAACACAACTTCTGCTTTCCTGGGACTCTAGCTTTTTACAAACAGAAAACATAGAATCCTAATGCAGTCTCCATCTGCGACTCTAACCCAGTTTCTAGAATACACACAGAATCTCAATAACAATCTGTCCTTACTGATCATCAACATCATCCAGAGTAATGCTTCAAGAATCTGATCCACCAATGGATCCCTAATCAATCAGTCAGGAGTGAAGACAAAGCCTTCAAAGTATACAATTAGACTCCTAAGTGAGAGGTCCAGGGTTCCAGTGATGAACCTGATCATAACCAAGTCAGTAAAAAAATATATGTATATACCATGTCTTATTCTATATTATACTCCTCCCAATTATGCGTTCAGGTGTCAAAGTTTTCTAGCCAATGACCACCAGGAGCACATCTGGATTGAAAAAGTTGGATTTCTTACTTGATTCGGTGGTATACAGCACACACCATGGGGAACTGAGAGGGCTGCCTGATTGTCAGGGTGTTAGAAAAGAGTATTTCAGGATTTGAGCTTGAGTCAGGAGATTTGCAGGAGGGGTCAGGGAAGTGAGGATAACCTCTGGATTGGATGCTGTCAGCAAACATGCACAATGCTGAGATTAGGTGTCTTGATAAACATTATCTAAAAGGAGGGCAGACTACAGTGAAGCTTAATCTGTAATTCACAGTGAAGCAGCCACCACTGAATGAGAGAAAGGAATGTTTTTTTGCACACTAACTGTGCAAAACCATAGAATACAATTTTGTCTGTGCTTTAAAACATATGCACTGGTTTTGCCTTTTACTCTCAATTCATCACAGTCACTGAATGACCTTGTCTGATGCTGGTGTTTTGTGAGATTGTGTTCAACATGAAAACACCATTGCCTAACTGTGAGCATCCAGTCACCCTCTAACGACTCTGAAGCTTGGCTGTGTCAAAACGGCACCTGGATGTCCGAAGTTGCTTTCCTCTTTCTTACTACACATGCCAAGTCATTACAGATAAGAAAAAAAATTCTGTCCATTGATAGGAGAGTTTGACAAAATCAAAGTGAACATTTGTGCCTAGTAAGTGTTGATTAGTCTACCCATGTTAGAGAAACCCCTTTAGTATTATGCCCAAAACTAGTGTCTTATTTGAAAAAAAAAAAAAAAAAAACTGAAGTAAGTAGGAAGTTGTGCTATTAGTATGAGCACACGGAAGTACTAGGTAAAATCTGAAGTGTCTGTCATTTGGATTGTCTAAACATTGGACAACCACCCCACAACCCCTAAGAAATACCATTTTTATGTTGCTCATAGTTATTTTTTATTTGAAAGAAAATAAACTGGTTAGAGATAAAGGAGATACAGTAGGCAAGGTAAGTAATTGGATGAAATCACTTGAAATGCAAACAGCTGTGACCAGTTATGGAGGACTCAGGCTGATTCCATCTCAGCCTAACAGTTTACCATTCAGGATATCCTGAAGCCATTTGGGTAAATCTGCAAGAGAAACAAAATATTGTCAGGAGGCTTCACAAAGGATGAAGAATGTGGCTTTATTCTTTGGAATCTGAAAGAACTAACAAGTGTCAAATGTCAACTAAACTCAGTAGACTGAAAGGAACATGAGATTTTAATTCCAGGAAGATAAACAACCAATTCCTGTCCTTAAAGATTTTGGAAATATAGCCCTAGATGGAAGCCCAAGTAGGTTAGAACTTTAGACAGAACTAGAAAAAAGTCAGTACATATGAGTTTTCCTATAATATGGCACAAAGAGATCCAGCCTTCTAATAAGAGAAAAAAGCCATTTTCTCACTCATAGTCCTACTTTACAGATTATTGACAGAGTGCCAAGCACTGACCCAGACATGAAAAAGTATAAAGCAATATTTGAAGAAGATTTCTTAAGGACTTTGATTATATGAGTGTAATTTTAGTCCTTTTTCTTTCTGCTCATGTGCTCAATGGAAAGTTTCTCATTGTAACTTTCCATATGTTTGAGTGCAATTTCAATCCTTTTTCTTTCTGCCTGTGTGCACAAAGGGGAGTTTCCCATTGCTACTCTTCCATTTCCTCATTTTTAAGATGTTTATTTCATAGAATGACTGTGATATTTAAATTATGATATATACATAAATTTTATGACACAGTTCCTGGCATATGTTCAGATTGAACAAATGTTGTAATCAATGCCACATGAAAGTTAAGGTCAAGAAAAAGTGAACCCAGAATAGGAAGAAAGTACACTGAGCCTTGATGAATGTCCAAAATCCCAGAAAGAGCCTGAATAGCATTCAAAATAATCTGCCTCAAGAAAGATTGTAAAATCACTCATTGTTAAACTATTTTCTATTTCAGGAAAATTCTCTAAAGGAAACAGAGATTTTACCTGATTACCTGATTTTAAATTGCCTGATTTAAACACATACACACACACACACACACACACTACCTGATTTTTAAAAATAAAAAAACAAAAATAAACAGTTACCTAGTTTCATGGAGACACTTATTTTGGTCTTTCCAAAAATGTTTCTACTAAGAAGAGTTTTCCTTAATAAATGCCAATATTTCAATATTTACCATTCAGGTAAAATTTGCAGCCTAGGAGTCAGGTAACCTCCTGACTCTTCTGATATTTATCTGTTGACTTGACTTAGAAAACTACAAGGAATTAGAGAACAATGTAAAGAAGAGGTCTCCCTGACACCAAAAATAGAGTCTCCGTGAGAATAGAGAACCCAAGGAATCAAGGAGCCACATAAAAGCAGCACATAGATGGAGGAGTCTTACCACCAGGAAAGCCTCTACGAGCAGTGGTAGAAGCAGCGGTGGGAGCAGTGGTTGCAGCAGTGGTGGTTGCAGTGGTTGCAGCCGCGGTGGTTGCAGTGGTTGCAGCCGCGGTGGTTGCAGTGGTGGCAGCAGCAGTGGTGGCAGCAGCAGTGGTTGTAACATCTTCAGAATCAGTGTCATCAGGGCCAGCTGAAATGAGGAAAAGCTCTAGGTGAGACTGACTCCTGAAACAAAATTTATCCCAGCCAGGGGTGGACAGACATTCCTCATCCTGAATTCATCTCTGCAAATCTGTCATCATCTCTGTCCTACCTTTAGCTTTCCTGTCCACTTTCCTCATGCCTCATTGTTCCCTGTGCCGTCCATGCTGGGACAGAAGGAATTTGGGATTTCCCTCCAAGGGCAATGACACTGATTAAAGAAACAGGAAAGTACTTTGTCCCAGGCATGAGCACAGAAGACCAATGCCACAGGTGTTCCTATTCACAGAGACAGCTGCTCAGAAGCAATTTCCTTATTGCTTAAGCAATTTCCTTGTAGACTGGTATTCTGATGCCTTCCCACAGAATAACCTAAGACAGCATACATTCCAATGCAGCATGAATGAGCCTGAGTGAAGGGATGAACTCTAGAGGGAAAGAGGAGGAAGATTAAGAAGATGTATCTCATCTTAGAGTCATATCTCCTGTCTCAGAGTGCAGTAAGATATCTTCCATCAGGTTCTAGAATGAAAAGAGCCATATTTGTCTCACCCTTTATGACACTTGGACTCCATTTATTAGAGAAGTAATTGTGAGAGCCACATTCGATATAACAGGAGAAATTAGTACACTTATGACAGTAACAAAAATGCCCCATCAATTATTACATGTACAAAGGGACTGGTAAAGAGTTATGAAAATTATTTCTCTCTCTAGACTTTACACCATAGCTATTGATAAGGATCAACAGTCAGACCCCACATTGGTGAGTTAAACCCACCTCAGCAAATAAGTAGCTCTATCTCCAAACCCACACTCTAGCCATGCTGTCTCAGGCCTTATTTAAGAGAGAGAATATTTTTTTAATGGGGCCTCACATGGCAGGAAAAATATATGTGAGGACTGACGAGAGCTAAAGCCCTTGTGACCAATGGATGTAAATTCCCACCATGTGAAGGATAAAGACAGACCTCCTTAGCTGGTGCATGGGCACAACACACACACAGTATAGAATGTGAAGAATACTTTGGGAGAAGCCCAAGAATGACTTAAGACTTTGGTCCATGACCTTCATTTTCAGGTTGGAGAAGGGAAACAAGCATCAGCCTGGGAATAAGGAATATACACCATTGCAAAGAGTAAAGCATAGACCTCTTCTTCTACCTGACCCCAGCACTTCACATCCCACACACCATCCTCACTTGTGATCCAAATGGCCTCATATTATATAACTTTCAAAATTACAGTATCTTCCTTCATTCTGAGACCCACTGGATTCTTTTTGACACTGGCTATATATTCAGTCCTTCCGTTTATTAAAGGCGTCTCTCAAAAATTCTCAGTCCATAAATCAGACCTCATGCTCCTGTGCCTTCTGCTGGAAAACAACAAATAATAAGCCCACATTTGTATAAATCTATGGCCTAGATTTCATGTGTTCTAAGAATGTATAAGAGATAAGCAGATTCACTATGTTCATGGTGAATTTTAAAATCAGGAATATAACTTCCTCAGGCTTTTGCTTAGGATTCCTTATAACTGAGAATATCCACATGGAAACTGGCTGTTTGACATGAGGCCAGAAATGGAAAACAGTCATTGAAGGAAAAAGATGAGATTCAAGTGCAGACTCACCAGCTGGACCCGTTTCTTCTTGAACTGGTGTTGTTGCAGTCTCTGAAAGAGAAGAAAGAAAAGTAAGATGTTAGCTGAATGCCAGTTAAGAGAATGGAGGTAAGAGAGATTATGGACAACACTCCAGACTTGACAGTGGAAGGACCTCAGGCCTTGGTGTACCAGTTGAGGAAGAACAAGTGCACAGATAATGTAAAACCCATGAAAACCAATAAAAACCCTGATATGTGGTCATTTTTCCTTTCCTGAAATAAACCTCTGATTATCTTCTTAAACATATTGTACTAACAGTAACAATAAGGTTGGGTTCCAAGGTTATTACTGAATTAGAATCTGAGTGAATTAACAAGAGCCTAAGGACAGTCAACTCCATCTTGAATGGTCAGTCAAAATGGTGATAGAACAAGTTAGAAGAGGAGACATCAAAAAGCGCGTTCTAAGCAATCATAAGCCCACATCTTTAGAGCACGTATTTTATGTATATTCCCACAAAACTTATGTTCGGGTAAGAATCTTTACTTACGAGCAGAGACTAGCAAGGTGGATACACCCAAGAGTACCAGGACTGCTAAGAACTTCATGGTGATGACCTGAAGATCAGGGAGCACAGACAAAGATGCTTCAAAGCCTAGGAGAAGGCAAGGCGCTGACTTCAGGATTCCACATCCTGACGATATATATGCAGGGAGCACCAATCAGGAGCAGCCGACCAGAATCCAGGTTAGGTAATTCCAGGAAAGCCGCTGGAGAATCAACAGCACAGCCAGGGGCCCTTTGGAAAGGTTGTGAGTTCAGATCATTGGCTCTGACTAAACAGGTTTCAATATGAGTCTCTCATATTAAATATGCTCCAGGCAACTTCTCTTTCGGGCTTCCTCGTACATGTAGGGTATAGTGTCTCCATAATTACCAGCTCCTCTGCCAGGTTAGAGATGCCCTGAAACCAGCCTTCCTGAAATCTACAGTGCTCTTTTCATAGATTCTAGGAGTTATACACTTACAGAATGCTTAGCCCTCTGTCTCCTCAAACGGGAATAATCAAGGTAGAGCAGCCTGATGCATCCTGTGTAACTCACGCTGTGCATTCTTCAAGTCATGGCCTCCCTCCTGAACATGTAATTAGGTTGTCTGACACTGGTGCAGAGTGAGTCCAACACTAAATGATCTAAAGAACCAAATATGACCTCACTGCATTTAGCAACTACTGTGTAAAAATTCAAAACCAAAAAGTAAGTATACAGAATACTAAACTAACATTTGTTAATTCATGCATCCATTTAGTCAACTTTTTCATTCAAAAACACTCACTGAGCATTATTATGTGCCAGACACAATGCTAGATGTTAGAAAACTAGCAGCGAACAAAGCAAAAATGTTATTTCACATGTGCTTTTGCAGGAATTCATACATTAAAAAGTAAAAGGGAAAACACAATGTATTAGGTGTGAGGTGATAAGGCCCAATAAAAAAAAGAATGCAGGAAAGAAGAAAGGAGAGTAAGTTTAGAGATGGAAAGTGGAGAGCAATTTTGGGTAAGGTGACCAAAAAAGGCATCACTGAATAGGTGATCTTTGAACAGAGTCTTAAGGACTTGAGGAATCAACATGGTATGTTTGGATAATGCAAAGGAAACAAAATGGTCACTCTAAAGGAAAGGAATGATGAGTGCATGTGGAATATGGTCATCCAGACCTCTCTGCAGTTGTCGACTAGGGCCCAGCACTGCACCAAGTTACATCAAACTACTTGTCCTTTGTTGTAATGGACCCAAGCTGCTAAGTAAAGACAGCAAGGGAGGAAAACAATCCACATTTGCAGCACAGCCAAGTGTTGGACTCAACCGAGGCCTCAAAGAGGGGTGATGAACATTTGTAACACCCAGAATCATAGGGAATTCTCTACATTTTAAAGATTTCCCTTGCCTTAAAGTTATTCTTGTTCACACAAAGTATGCCTTTTTGTGTCATATCCTCATGGGAAGGATCTCTGCAATCTGGAACAGCACTGAACATCTATTTCTCCTTTTATTGGAGAGTCTATCTGACAACAGCAACCAATCTACTTGCCAAAACACGCTAAAGGGGTCCCCATCATGTGAATGAAGAAAGGCAGAGGAAATTCCCGAGAGGTTAATTCTTTAACCTCAGAAAGGCGAGTCAGTGTCCTTGTCCTGGGTAAACTCATATCTGTCATGAGGCACAGAGTTGTCATAATATGGCAAGAGGTTCGCATAAAACGATGCTAAGAAAAAACACATATTCTGAAGGAAAAGTGAAAGAGAAATATTTAAAAGAGACAAGGAAGGAAGACTTAAAAGACAGGTACTATCTGATTACACCCAGTAAGGAATAAACCCTACAGTTACCCTCAAAAGGCCTCCCAACAAAACTGACACAAATGGAAGGGTCTTCTAGGAGCTAGTTACTCACTGAGAGCCTGCTGTGTCCCTCCACAGAGGCAGAGACCCACCAGACAGACTTAAGACAAAGACTGACTTGCTAAGGAAAAAAGATTAAACATATGTATCAGTTAGGGTCCACTCAAGAGATCAAAACCACACACTGGATTAAACAGGAAAAATGTGATATAAATAATTTCTCAAGTTTGATAAATGAGTAGATAGGAAGAAGTTCTATGAAATCCCAGGGTTGAGGGAGAATATCCAAGGAAGAACAACCATGGAAAGGGGCCTCTTCCCTAAAGCTGGTATTCAGAACTCATTGGAGAAGCAGCCGTCTGGGTGGCAGAGAAGTGTGCTGGTTTGCCCAAGCTGAAAGCTGGTCTGCTGTTGCCGGGGAAGCAGGCAGTCTGCAACCAGTGGTCTGATGTGTGGAGGACATGAAGGCTCAGGGTGTAAGGGAGCCCCGTGAGGCCTACAATAGTTTCAAGGCTTTATTTTTCTGAAGTTATTGGATTTTGATAATATTATAATGCTTCAAATTGTATGTTCTTAATAAAATCACTTTAAGAGGAATCTAAAATTCAAGTATAAAGTATCATGTGAGTATATAAAATATACTCAGATCTAACACTAGATTTTTTTCATTAAAATGAACAGCATTATATATAGGGCATGTTATATTAAAATTAAACTGAGATTGTTCTAATATCTATAAATCATTCTACTTTGTAACATCCATCAAATATTATGCAATATATTCTATGTAAAATCATATGTTGTGTGTATAACCAAACCTTATCTCTCTCCATAGATATACATATATTACATACCAGTATATATATAATTTTAAAAGTGAAATTTATTAGATTACATATCTCCAAAACTTTTTACTACTGCCCTTTCCCATTACAAGATTATTTTTGCATTTTTTGTAAAAATTAAAATAGTCATATACGTAAGAAAGCAAAAGTCTCTAGATGGACAAATGCAGAGATAACCACCATTTTTACTTGACAATTATATATTCCTGAAGATTTTATGCATATATGAATTCATATGTAGTTATTTAGTCCTACTCCTTTATGTCAAATATTCCATACATTGCTGTTGTCCCTACCAAAAGGCAAATGTTAAATAAATTTTCCCAAGTTCCTATTATAATAGGCAAATATATGTAATGCAAATGACCATATATTTGTGTTTGTACACAAATTATTTTAAAGTGCTGTACCAAATGGCCTTAAATCATAAAACATTCTTTCTTCTTTGTGCAAAGTGGCATTAAATTATAAAACATCCTTTTAAAAAGCTGTACAAAATGGTGTTAAATTATAAACCATTCTTCTTTGTGCATTCAACACTACTTCTTAGAACTCTAACTCAATTCCCGTATATCTGTATTATTCCTTTCAATAGCTTCGTTATATCATAATTTAGCATTACCTGCTTACAGGAATTCAGGTCATTTGTATTCTTTTGCTATTATCAAATAGCAGAAGAAGCCATTGATATTCTTTTCAATGTACCCTTATGTACAAAGTCTCTATGCAGTAAATGTCCACAGGTTTTTGAATCACAATAGACGAATATACTTAATTTGACCTGTATTATCAACAGCCTTCTCAAAGAGCTCTAAAAATTAAAATAACAAAAACAAATATCAGGGCATATTTTTATGACCATTTCTGCCAATAGTAAAGGTTATCTCAGTTGAATTTTGCCAGTCTGTTATGCCAGAAGCAATATTTGTTAGGTTAACTTGCATTTCCCTGAGTGCAGTATATTTGAGCTTACTGACAACTTGTATTTCCTCTTCCATGATTTACATGTTCTAATCTTTTTATCTGTTGTATTTCCTGTATTTATTCCTTTCAGGATTCTGAGTATATAAGAAATATTAACATATTATCTTTTATAAAAATTAAAGTTTTCCAATCTAATACATTTTAATTTTATTCGCAATATATGATTAGAGCAAAATTAAGTGGAACTATCATTTTCCTTATAATTTCTACATTAAACAATTTGAAAAACACACAACTGGGTCATCTTATAACAGTGATAACTTAATAATACCTCCATACAATTCATATCTATTATTAATCCCCAGATTTACTCCAGGATCACAAACCTGCCCCTAGTCATTACTGCACACTCTAATTTAGAGCATATCACAAAGGGAGATAGGCTCTTAGAGAAAGCAGCACAGAAACCCCAACCTGAAGAGAGGTCTTCAAGAAGCATCAGGGACTTGGTTCAAAACCAGACCCCTCACTCCTCACCAAACACCACAGAGAAGTTGTAGGAACCTGCAGCAACCCTAGCCTGAGATCAGCAAGGACATATAGCTGAGTTTCAACAAAACAAGAATTAACTAAGTATAGATTAACAATGGGTTCAGATACTGAGTTTATTAAAAAAAAAAAAAAAAAGAATTGAGGTGAAAGGAAGCTCCAGGATGTTGGGAGGTAAAATAGGATTTGCTGTTAGGACCAAAGGTAAGATCTCATTCTGTGCTCACATCAAGGTAGCTGAGGCATACACAGGGCAGTGCAGTGACTGTCTAGCATTAGAAATCTGAATGTGTGCCCCAAGCATGATTATGTAGACACAGCACGTTTCTTCTATGCATGACCTGTTACTTCTGTCATACATTATTACCATTCAATCTCAAATTAAGTACATTTTCAGGCAAGCTTCCATGGCTTCCAAACTAAAGTAATCCCTAAAGTTACCATTACATGATTCGATTCTGTTCGTATCATAATACCCATCATTGCCTGATATTTGCTTGTCTCTTTCTTTCTTTGCTCTTTGCATTTTGTTTATGGAGTTTCACTGTTGTCACTCAGGCTGTAGTGCAATGGCACAATTTCGGCTCACTACAACCTTCACCTCCCGGGTTCAAGTGATTCTCCAGCCTCAGCCTCCCCAGTAGCTGGGATTACAGACATGTGCCACCACAACCAGCTAATTTTGCATTTTTAGTAGAGATGAGGTTTCACCGTGTTGGTCAGGCCGGTTTTGAACTACTAACCTCAGGTGATCCACCTGCCTTAGCCTCCCAAAGTGTTGGGATTACAGGCGTTGAGGCACCGTGCCCGGTCTTTCTTTGCTCTTTGCTTGTCGGCTTTCTGCCTCAAGTAAATAAGCTCTGAAAGAGAGAGAAAAAGAGATTGCTTTGCTTAACACTATTTCACAATACTTAGAGGAGTGCCAAGCACTTG